AACTCCTAAGTCTCCAACGAGCGAGCAACAATACACCTAATTGCTAGAATGTGCACGTTAGCATCATCCACAAAAACCCGGTTAACAAGTTTCACGAACTACGTTGCTCTGATTTCTCATACCAGATGAGAATACATAGGCATAAGACATGATGTCTTGGCGAGCACCCTTTTTTTCCTTTACCCATAGTGGGCTGAACTACAGCTGCTCTGATTCTTTACTTAATTTAAGTACAGATACGTAGGCACAAGGGCCACAATCCTTGCCAAGCACACTCTTTCATCTATACACGTGGTTCCCCGAACTATGTTGACTCTGACTTTCTCATATCTGTTGAGAATACGTAGGACTAGGACCGCGAAGTCCTACCAAGTCTCTTCTTCCCCTGTTACCTCTCTTTCCCCTGTTTCTAACCTCTCTTTATCCTTTGGAACACTCATACAAAGCAATATATTTTAGCAAATAACTTCACACATAGACAAACAAATGGTTCCCATCGAGTACGATGGATGCGAGGGGTGTTAATACCTTCCCTTTGCATAACCGGCTTCCGAACCCTTTCTCTTGGTTGTGAGACCATCTTATCCATTCCTTCTTAGGGTTTTCTCGATGTTTTCTCTTTCCCTCATGGGATAAATAAAGTTCGATGGCGATTCTTCTGTCTTTCATTCTCGCCTCTCCGTCGTTGCATTTTTTCGAGTAGCGACAATAGGTTGTTGGTTTAGAAAGGAAAAAAAGTGTCAATTGGAGGGAGAGTTACGTTGACTAACTCGGTATTGAACGCCATTCCTTTATTCTCGCTCTCTTTTTATAAGGCTCCGATGTATAATATTAAGGAGATTTCTAAAATCCAAGCTAATTTTTTGTGGGGTGGATTGTCAGATAAAAAGAATATCCATTGGATAAGCTAGAAGCGGGTCTGTTTACCAAAAAATTATGGTGGTCTTGGGATCAAAGATATTAAAAATTTCAATAAGGCCTTTTTCTAAAAATGGAAATGGAGAATTATTTTTGAAGCTGGAGCTATTTGAAGGGGAATTCTCGAGTTCAAATATGCTCATCAGTCCCAAAACTTGGGATAATTATTCTCTGCGATGATGGAACCATAGGAAAAATTCTATATGGTGGCGCGATTTGATGCTGATCGATTTTGATAAGTTGAACATGGTAGACTTGTTTTATAGTTCTATTTCTTATACTTTGGGTCATGGCAGGGCAGTTCCATTTTGGTGTTGTTATTGGTTAGGTAATAGTCTTCTTAAGGATGCCTTTCCATATCTATTTTGTTCCTTTTTGGTCAAGTCTGCCAGTGTTGTAGAAACCGGCTTCAAGTGCGAGAAGAGCTGGGTCTGGAAGTGCAACATGCCTTACATTCTACCAGGTTCAGCGGAGTGCAGGGAGCTAAGGTTGTTGACTCTATTTCTCAATGATGTAGTGCAAGATGTTTTTAGAGAGGATATGTTGGCGTGGTCTAAAGGAGAAGATGAGGTGTTCATCGTCTGGTCTTGTTTTGATTCTTTATTGTAGGTTAGGACAACAATTGAGTTGGACATGGTTACGACTACGGGCTTGCAGAGTATATGGAGTTCAAAGCTTCCATATAAAGTTTAGGGTTTTGGGTTTTGGGATAGATTAGAAACTAGAGATCAATTGGATAAGAGAGATATTAAGTGTGGGAGTCCGAGTTTGGTTTGTGTTGGATGTCAGAATTTAGTTGAATAATCTTTCCATGTGTTCTTGGAGTGCTCCTTTGCGAATAATATTTGGAAAGGAGTGGAGATATGGACTAGTATAACAGTGGATTTGAAGCTGATAACCACAACTTCTTTTGTTGATTATGGTAGTAAAGTGCGGAAAGCAAATGGGAAGGATATAGGTAATGTTATTTGGGTTTTCTCTTGTTGGTGTATTTGGAGAAGTAGAAATAATATAATTTTTAGAGGTGAACCCCTTAGTGTTGTAGAGGTGGTAAATAATATTAAGTTTTAATCTTAAAGGTGGTTGAGTTCTTTAGCTTTTCTAGTTCCTTAATGTTCTTATTACAAGTAGTTTGTGACTCTGCTCAATTGTATCAACCGGAAGTAATTTTCTCTTATTTTTGTAAGGGTTTGAGTACTCCTTGTACTCTTGTGTTTTAATTCCATTGCCTTTTAAAAAATATTATTGGACCATATATTTTAATTCTACTTTTTCTACTCCCTATCTAACTTACCATATGTTTGCGGCAATAGAAAAATATTGGTTGAAAAAATAATGGTGAAGTTTACAAAAAAGATTAGAACTTTTAAGGTTCAGAAGAGAAAAAAGTTGCAAAAAGAATTAAAGAGAAAATGAGGATCTATATATAGATTTTGAAGTGCAAGAAAACTCTCCAATTTCTCCCCCTTGAATTAAAAATCCATTAACATTTTATTTTCTGAATTAAAATTAATTAAAATGATTTCTTTAAATGCAGTTTAATCATGTTGCCCACGATGGCCTAGGAAATCGAAATCATGATGGCTGAGTGCACGCACGTTCATTGACGTGACAGTTTGATGAAAGTAGTCATGATGAGCATGCAGACTGTTGTGAACAATTTCGAGAGTTTCTAAAAATGCCACATTTCTTCCATATTGCAATTATTATCTAAAGTGGATTTTTTTTTGGGGGGGGGGGGGGGGGGGGGCATTTGTTAGTCTGTGATTTCCGAATCAAGCTGCACTGAAATTCATTAAGCCTAGTTTGAAAGAATCTTAAGAACAAATCCACAAGATTAAGATCACTCTCTCTTCAGAGCATGTTCAGAATCTTGAAAAGGGTTGTAGTGGTTTAGCATTTCGACATGAAAATGTAGTATAAATATGGTGAGTTTAACTCGCCTGGACATAGTATATTCTTAAGTCTAAGGAATAAGGGATCCAAAGACATTTCGACACCACACTCAAAAGGTTCAACAGAGGTAGTTAGAGTTTGTAAAGCAGTTTCAATAATATGAGCAGTTTAAAGGAAGATCAAAGACCAATTACAAGTGAAAACTTATTAGGAAACAAGAGCCCACATAGTAGGATACATGTCGAGTTCTAGAGAAGTAACCGTTATCTACGGTTATTGTTGTATTTAGTATATAAGTCGATTTCATTCATGTAATAAAGGTTTGCGATTTTTCATTAGTATTATCTATAGAACTCGAGTATCCAAGTCATCATAGAGAGAAAAAGTTTGTGAGAAATTTATGAACCTGCGTCCCTCTTTTAAATTTTTAATACAAGCATTGCATTCAATTGATCTTCATCATTTATTTACATTTACTTTACTATTTGAGCAATTCTGCACTTTGGTTTTGAACCTTTTATCCGATTATCCTTCATTGTTATAAATTTCTATCCCATTTCTTTTCATCAACCCATCAAATATTCAAACACAGACGTGTTTTATCTAAATGTTTTTTTTCACAATATATCATAAAATATTTTCAAGTTTAATCAAGTAAATGAATTAAACTTGTGATTGTTTACCAAAAACAATTATAAACAAGGTCCAAACTATAGAATTTGAGTGCATGTTGTGGGGCATGTTTGATTTCTATAATCCAAAATCATGCTCTGATGTGTTTCTAGATTATACAATCCAAACTAAATCAACAACCAAGAAGAAACGATTCATACATCCAATTAAATAATCAAGCACATATGTGCTAATTTATTTTGAAATAGGAAGGTATGTGATTATCAAACAATATTTATTTTAAAATGAAGCATTGTTAGGATTTTTCAAATTTGAAGATTTAAGGATAAAAGAAACTTGCCCCTTAAAGAAGTTTTCAGATTTTAAAATTTTAGAAGCTTTAAAAACATGCTAGAAATTTTAGAATAAGAGTGACACTTTTATCAAAACAAAGGTTTCTTAGATATTTAAGGGATGAGAGAATAATTAGCTAATAAAAAGGTTTTAAAAAAAAAGCTGAAATATGTGGTTCTATGTGATTATTGTTCAAAACTTTTGAACTTTTATGAAAGTTCATATGTTCTTCCTCATCTCATTACAACAAGATATTACCAAACTATTTTGGAGAGAGAGAGAGAGAGAGAGGAGATTATCATAAACTTCAAATTGGGAATAGCATTCATACCATTACCATTCCTTCTACTAGTATATCCTTTCTTTCAATGATTTCTCTTATCCCAAAAAAAGTACTCTTTCTTTCAATGGCTCATTGGGAATCCTTCATACACAAACATAGGTGTGTCATCTAGGTTACTAAAAGTTAACAAACTTACCACAAAAAATATAACCCCAAGATAATAACCATAGGCTTATATTAAGGAAAGTTCATTTCATTTAATACACTATACATTATTATTCACCATATATTTCAATTCTACTTTTTCTACTCCCTATCTAACTTACCATATGTTTGCGGCAATAGAAAAACTATGGGTTTATATCTTATTCATCCTCTCTACCTTTTCAATAAAGGGGTGTTATCATTGGACAAGAAACAATATTTTTATTTGCCAAGTATGTTAAAAATTTAAAGATGTTTATCTCTCTTAACATAGTTATGTATAGTGGTTTGAACTTCCTCAATCTCCATCCGAATTTTCAAAATAATAATTTAAATAGATTAACATCTATGTAAAAAGAATCCTAATCTAGAAAGAAGCAAATAAATCAAGTATAGGTAAAGAAGACCAATCAAACATAGAGGTTGAATTTGGACCCAAAATGGACCAAACATAGTCTATTCCTACATGAGTCTACCACAAGCCCACTATTAAGAAATTGCCCAAAGTTTGGTGACACTTCCCTCAAATTCATTTCCTTCAACTTCATTAGCATTAGAGAGTTAATCTTTCAATTATCATAGATTGACATTTCACCTTTTTGAAAGCCCTCTAAACTAACTCCTTTGGTTTGCTCTTTAAGAAAGTGAACAAACTTCTTGCTCTCTAATAGTTACAATCATGTCTTGTCTTTGAGAGGTTTACAAAAAAGTAGCAAGCAAGAAAACATAGCAAATGGAGGTTCAATCCTCGGCGGCGAAACGCCACTATGACATAACCATGTCAAGAAGAACAAGGAAGCAAAATGAGAAACCAATCTCCAAGGATGTTTCAACAACAAAAGATGTTGTGTCTCATGAAACCACCCTTCATGAGAATAATAATGATCACAAGAGTTTGAAGCAATTGATTGGTGGAGAAGCGAAAGAGACAAGAATGAAGAGTAGTAGTAGTAGTGATGAAGGTGATAATAGCAAAGGAAGAAACTCACTTGGAGAACATTTTTCTGAGGAAGAGAAACAACTTCAACTTGTTAGGATGCAACAAAAGGACAACATTCAAGGTTTGAAGTTTAAGAAATTGGTTCGTCGTTATGCTAAAGTTTTGGGGCATTTAATAAAGGCTAAACGTGATCCTCATTTAGGTGATGCTGGAAAAAAACCTGTTTTCAAGTTATCAGGTTAATTAGAGAAAATTTTAATTTTGGGTTTTATCTACTTATGATTTGTTTCATCTATTTTCTATATGTATTTGCTAGCAAAAATGTTTTAACTTTCTTCCATGTTTTTATTATTTGTGTATACTACTTATTCATGCATTATGCTATGTGTTTGTAATTTTATCACTGAAAATTACAAGTTCTTGATATTTAAATTTTAGTAGAGCTTTTAATTTTGTTTATATAACTTGGTTTGAATATTTTTTGTTTATATTTAGAGATTTGTAAGCTAGATGATTATTTGGATGCTAATATGATGAAGAGAATAGAAAGCCAGAATAGAAAGCCAAATTTTTTTTTTCATTCAAAATTATAAGACGTTAGATAAATTTCACACTAAATAAAAAATTTAATTATTACGTTATAAAAAAAAATAAATTATATATGATTTTACAATAATATCCCTTATAATTTATACATGAGAGAATTAGAAGAATGTCATTTTATTAAGTGCGATTTAGTAGGAACAATATATTAATCTCTTGCAATTGTGATTGAAAAATGGTTAGAATCACTTGATGTTAGAACTGACAATCGAACTGAATTAATCGATCAAACTGCGATTGAGAAATGGTCAGAAACACTTGATATTAGAACTGACAATCGAACTGGATTAATCGGTCAAATCGGATACTAGGATGGAAAAAAAAACCTAAGAAATTTTGATTAGTAGTTTCAACAACCAATAAGAGTTAAATGGCCATTTGAGCTACCATCTACTTATAGTCTAAAGAAAGGTTAATAATAATGATAATAATGCATGAATAAGTGAACATGCAGCAAATGTGAAAGTGATGTTAGTTTGCCAATGAAGGATTGTATAATGTAGGTGGTTGTTTAACAATACTAACACACATATTGAAAAGATTATGATTATAAAAGCATTTTTCAAAATAAAAATTATACTAACTTATAGAAAATGCTAGCATATATTAAAAAATATTTTAATTGTTAAGTTTTTTTAATATAATTTTTTATTTTTAAATTTTAACATGTGTCCTTAGTATAATTGGACAAGATTCTAACCTTATTTATTAAAAAAAACTACTATATTTAGTTTTCAAATATATTTCATAAAAAACAAATTTTAAAGAGCAAAATAGCAAAGAAATAGATTCATTTACACTTCTTTTAGTTATTATTAAAAACAAACAAAAGCTTTTATTTTGTTTTGTTATTATTATAATGCTAAATGAATTCAGCACCCTTATTCTTATTATCCACAAACAGATGTCGTTGTCTTTTCATTAGATTGTAACCCATATAACAGTTATGTCAGCTATTCATTGCTCTCCCTTGTCTAATAAATATATATTAATATTAATATATGTTAATTAACATCTTTATAATAAATATATTTTTAATTAATAATAAATAAAAATTAATATTAATAATTAATACATATTAATATTAGCAATTAATATATATTTTTATAAATAATCAACAAATTTTTTAATTATTATAATGTTATGTTTTAATTTGTAATCAATATATGTTAATTTGATTTTAATTATTATAAATAAATTTTAAATAATTTAAATTAAATTAAATTAAATATATTTTTATTATTATTTAAGTTCAGTTTTGTCACTGTAATAGACGAATCATTTGAATATTTTATTAGTTAAGTACAGTTTCGTCACTGCAATGGGCCGATCCTTTTAATATTTTATTATTTAAGTACAGTTTCGTCACTGTAATGGGCGGATCCTTTGAATATTTTATTATTTAAGTAGAGTTTTGTCACTGCAATGAGCAAATCCTTTGAATATTCTATTATTTAAGTACAATGCGAATATGATGACGTGTGTTGTGATATATTTTTCCACATTTATTCTCATTTTTTGGTGATAGTGTTAACATGTATCGTCATCGCTACAGGAAAGTGATTTATTCGAGAGATAAGCCTCTGATGGAGATGCTCTTCTGAAACATCCAAAGTTTCGAACAACTAACCAGGGAGCTGATTGGCTGGTTAGACAGAGACATACCTAGAGGCGAAAAAATTAGAAGTATTGAGAGACAGGATGTCCTACGTGGGCGGGTGCGAGTTATGACTGACAAGGATGCGAGGGAAGTGACGTTTGGAGCAAATGATATCAGTTTGATTGTTGTAATAAGTTAAAAATGTTGTGTTCAAATGTTGTGGTTAAGTATTTTTATCTGTCTTGATATTTGTTGTATGTGTTATTTATTTAAGTCTGTTATTGTTCGTTTTGCGATATCTGGTTTCTTGTTATTTATATTTGGTACACAATGATTAATGGTTCAAAAAAATTGAGAAGTTTGATGGCAATCTAAAAATGATACATGATAACAAAATAAAAAACTAATTATTACTAGTTCCAACATTGGGACACCGAGTTCGGTTATGACTAGTTTGACGACACATGAAACATTTTCTCTCAAGCTTATTAACGGTAACCATTTCCATTCTAATAGGTGTGCTCACTAGGTAACCTTTCTTGTTCCTCCGTATTCTTGGAATATGAAAATTTTGATCTCCTTTATAAACGTGTCAATATTCATCCTATGGAAGCACTGGAAAGCTTGTGTTGTAAATCTCAAACAGGTTTGCAACCCTGTAAACGTTGGACAAAAGAGCACAGGCGTCGTGGTGCGCATTAGAACATGTACCAATAACATGTGAACAAGGGACGTGGTATGCCTGAAACTTTCCACAGTCACACCAACCATTTATTAGGTTGACCTTGTAATGTCCCCAGTAAATGCAATTGTCAGTAAATGTTTGTCCTGAATTCAACACTGCACTCCAGTTTGCACCTCTTTCAACAAATAATGACCCCAGTCTATAGTATGTTGCACTTACCAATATTGTAATGGAAAAATTACGGGTGCCTTTAAAAACTGAATTCACTGAATCAACAAGTTTGGTTGTCATGTGACCACAACGTTGACCCTCGTCAAATGGCATTGCCCATTTTTCTACTAGAATATTGTTGACCTACCTTAAAGTATCACCATTAGCCATGCCAATTTCATTCCGGTAATAGTGAAATGTTGATTGGTTTAAAGCATAACTTATATATTTAAAAAAAGGGTTAATGTTGAAATGTATAATTGACAAATATATAATGTTAGAAAATATACTTACCCATGTTAATAAATTTTTTTGGAGGTTCCTGTCCTTGATTGCTCTCATGAAATTTTACGTAATGTGTCTGATATAGTAGTCATGCACAAATGTAGGATTATGCCAACTATTATCTGGATTATTGTAAGCACTTTCTATCGATGCATGTCTGTCTGAAATCAAACATAGGTCAGGTTGAGGAGCAACATGCCTTCTCAAGTTCTGTAGAAAGAAACCCCAACCTTCAGTTGTCTCTTCTTCCACAAGTGTAAAAGCAACTGGGAAAATATAATTGTTGTCATCCTGTGCCACCGCCATAAGTAGCGTCACTTTGTACTTACCATATAACCAGGTTCCATCAATTTGAAGTATAGGCTTACAAAATGCAAAACCTCTAATGCAGAGTTGGAATGCCCAAAATAGCCAGTGAAAGATGTGCTTCCCTTTAATAATAGTGCCATCATTTATATATATGGGTAGTGTTTCCATTTCCACCACTGCACCCGGAACAAATTTTTTAAGTGCTAACAGGTAATGAGGAATTTCTTTGTATGAATTCTCCTAGTTACCGTATACTTTTTCAATTGCTTTGTTCCTTGCAATCCATGTTTTCCTGTATGATGGAATGAATTTGTGTTCATAAATAATTTTACTGATGCAAACGCTCACCTTGATAGAAGAATCCTTGTCTACAAAATACATTAAATGTTGACACATTAGCTGAGAGCTATGTTTTCGATGATCCTGGTTAAACATAGTTGTTGAACAACAATGTTGGGGGTTCATAATGCCTATCTCTCACAAGCTAGTTCTTTTTCTGTAGGACGCCAATAGAGGAAACTTCCAGGTATCATTTTTGCAACATATTGTATATCTATCATTGGAATCCATCACCTTAAAATACACACAGTGTTTCATGTGATATTGCTTTATAGAAAATGCACAATCGGCTTTATTTATATATTAGTTATCCACATCTATATCACCCTCCATCGGAAGACGAGGAATGTGCGGTCATTCAAAGGATGATTGATTTGCACTTGAGGTCAGGTTTGTCATGTGGGTGTCTGATAAATGCTAAAATGTACTGATTTTGAGTGTAAATAATTGGCACTTATTGGCTTAATTCAACCAATAAACCTCAACTTTTGTGCATATGTTGTATAGTTTACATTATAGTGTATATATTGTGTATCGCATAAATATCATTGAGTTTAATTGTTTTTATCTCATTTTTTGTAGGTATATAAGGAATTATATTTTGTCATTGTCTTGTAGAGCATTAAATAAGCTTTCTAACGCTTCCGACCGTGCATAAAACAGAGTTACAGTTTAAAAGTTATGGGCAAAACAAGTGTTGGTTTGCTGTCATGTTCGCTAAGTGAGCAAAAGTTCGCTAGGCGAACAGAAAGTTCTAAAAAGCGTGAAAAACACTGTTTCGGAAGTAGCGAAAGAGGCATAAGTTCGTTGTGCGAACGGAACTTCGCTAGACGAACACGGAAACCCATTTTTTCCTATTTAAGTGATTTTTCAGCATTTTTTAGGTTATGTTGTTTGGGAACTTTTTACCCCAACTTCATCAAACACATTCTTGAGTAGATTTAGCTTAGAAACAACATTGGAGGGTGCATCTTGATGATCCGGAGTCGAATCCACTTCAATTGGAGTTGACAGACCGTGAGATTTGTGTTCTTCTTCCTTCCTCTCTATGTATTTTTCATTTGTTGGGGTTTTGTATGTAAGTTTATCTTGATTGTATGTATATTTATGGATCTTTGTATAAAATCTCTTTTACAACTCTTTATCGATCGTTATCTTGATTTTTTACTTGATGGGTTGGGATTGCTATAGATATATACGGTTCAAATTCGA